GCAACCAGAGCCTCCTGCTTCCAGCCTCGCCAAGGATCTTCTGCTGCCTTCCTCCTCGCAGGGCCCTTTTTATACCTGGACCAGCCTTTGATGTCCAGAAGCTGTCAAAGTTGGGAGGTGCCCCCCCCCGGTCCCTCTTCTCTTGAACCCAGCCCCCAGGGCCAAAGGGATGAAAGGATCCCCCCCTTCTCCCTTTGCAGGCCTTTCATGACCCATCTCCCATTAGAGATCCTCCCAAAATGGAAGGGGACCAAAGAAAGGGAGCATCATGGCCAGAGCCTCCTGAGATGAGGATTAACATTTGGAAAAGATTGGAAGAAGGATTTTTATAGGCACTCAGCTATCGAGGAAACACTCCAGAAGAAGATGAACATCTCCATGTGGGACCCATTTGCAAGAAATTCAGTACCATCGAAACAATAATCCACCAAACAGCGATACCTTTATTGGACCAACCGAAATGCACAATATACTTGTTGCAATATACTTTCGAGGCTCCATGGGCTTCTTAAGCAACGATACTTTTATTGGAACAACCCAAATGCACAGTTCAGAGGGGGTTTGTCATTGGCATCCTCCGAGGCTGAGAGAGTGTGACCTGCCCCAGTTCACCCAGTGGGGCTCCATGGGCTTCTTAAAGAAGGGGCCTTTGCAGACTGCTAGAAATAGTGCAAACTGAGTCCACTTTAACTGCCCTGGCTCAGTGCTAGGGAATCATGGGAATTGTAGTTTTTTTCTGAGACATTGAGCCTCCTCTGTCAGAGAGCTCTGGTGCCACAATAAAGTACAGTTCCCATGATTCCCTAGCACTGAGTCAGGGGCAGTTCAAGTGGACTCAATTTGCACTATTTCTGGCAGTCTGCAAAGGCCCAATGATACTTTTATTGGGACAACCGAAATGCAAATGTAAAAATATAAAAGAAAATAAAAAGAAAGAAGAAAGTGACAAGCAGATTTGGAATTTTTTTTAAAGAAAATAAGCTTTATTTCTGCACCATTTTTGGGGGAGAATCACTCAGTAGGTTCTCTATATATACACGTTTGTGTTTGTGTTTGAACGACAAGATGTAAGCAACTGTGGTTTGGTTGCTGTTGTTGTTGTTGTTGTGTGCCTTCAAGTCATTTTTCCAACTTATGGTAACTCTAAGGCCATCATGGGATTTTCTGGGCAAGATTGGTTCAGAGGAGGTTTGCCATTGCTTTCCCCTGAGGCTGAGAGTGTGTGACTTGCCCAAGGTCGCCCAGTGGGTTTCATGGCCAAGCCAAGATTCGAACCCTGGTCTCCAGAGTCATAGTTTGACACTTAAACCACTTTGCCACACTGGCTCACTTACAATTCTCTACCATAAATATTTAATGCTATAGTTTATGGGTATGCGCTAGAGAATTCTAATTTCCTCACCAAACTACAGATCCCAGGATTCCATAGGATGGAGCCATGGCAATTCAAGTGGAATCAAAGTGCTATAACTGTGCAATGTGGATGCAGATTTGTTCAGCATCTGTGTAATGACTTTCCCACCCTGAAACTCAGCTCCTGTATAGGATACAGGGCAATTTTTCTATGCCAGTCTAAAGCACAAATATTAAGAAATGTGGAGCTTGGAAAAAGTATTTCATGGGGATTCTGGGAGATGTAATCCAAAAAAGGGGCAACTTTTCACTGCTCTGAAATAATGTCATTTCTGCAGAATCCCTCCCCAGTCATCAGATCCACTCAAAAGCAAAGATATGAGCTGCGTTTCCTAGTGGTTAAGGATGCTGGACTATAGAACTGGTGTTTAAATCCCCACTTGGCCATAAAGCTCATAAGGTTACTCTTTCTCAGCTTTATCAACCACAAAATTTGGAGAAGGTCCACATTTCCTCTATATCTCACCCTTCCCTGAAAATTAGGACTTCAATTATTTTATGTATGTATTTGTATATTATGAGAGCCAGGGTGGCTTAGTGGTTTGAAAATTTGTTAATGGATATTTTAATTATATGTCATTTAGGTTTTAAAATTTGTTAATGGATATTTTAATTATATGTCATTTAATACTGTTTTATTGGGAGGTGGGATGTCTGGGAATTTGACGTATGTATTTTCTTTTATTGTAAGCCGCTTGGATTGATTTCATTAAGAAGGATATTAATAAATATTATTATTAGTAGTAGTAGTAGTATTAGTATTATTATTATTTGAGCATTAGACTAGGGATCTAAAGACCAGGGTTTGAATTCCAGCTCAGCCATGGAACCCCACTGGGTGACCTTGGGCAGGTCACACTCTCTCAGCCTCAGAGGATGGCAATGACAAACCCCCTCTGAACAAATCTTGCCAAGAAAACCCCATGATAGGTTCACCTTAGGGTCTCCATAAGCTTGAAAAGACTTGAAGGCCCATTACTACTACTACTACTACTACTACTACTATTTGTGTGTTACGTCTCTTCCTTTCCTCCAAGAAAGCTGAAAGGAGGAGATATAATATACAAAGTGGTAAAATAATTCAGTCCCAATTTTGTGGGAAGGGTGGGATATCAATTACGACAAGAGCAATTGGAAGCTTCTTATTAAATTCATCATGTGATCCTTTTTTTTTTTTGGTATATTTATAATCTTAATTTTATACTGTTTTAACTAGATTGTTTTAATTGTGTGCTTTTTTAAAAAAAATATTTTGAAAGGGCTTTTATTTTGTGAGCTGCCTTGGGTCCCTTTTTGGGAGAAAGGCAGCATAAAAATGAAATAAATACATAAGTATGTAAATAAACAAACAAATAAATAAATAATTTTGCTCCCTTTTGGGGAGAAAGGCAGCATAAAAATGAAATAAATACATAAGTATATAAATAAACAAACAAATAAATAAATAATTTTGCTCCATTTTGGGGAGAAAGGCAGCAAAAAATGAAATAAATACATAAGTATGTAAACAAACAAACAAATAAATAAATAAATAAATAAATAATTTTGCTACCTATCAGCAACAATTCTAGTTTGGTTTAATAGGATGCATCATAGGAAATTCCAAGGCCAAAAGATTAAAGGACAACTCTATATGGACAGCTCCTGTTTCTTTTTCTTCTATGTAAACAGTCTCTTTGCTTTTGTGGAAGAAGGGTTTCTTGCAGACGTGTGACAAGTACTGAACATGATACTATAGTTTCATCTCCAGTTCAAAGCTTTTTGGCCAGGGCTTTCTTGCTGGCCATTTTATCCTATTGTTCTATTGTCTCCCTTTTAGGATTATATGATTTGCTTTGATGTTGCACTCCCCTTTTGTTGCTATTCTGGATCTAAAAAACTTTGGATGAAAGATCTCTCTTTCTCTCTCTCTCTCAGTCTTTCCCTCCAGCTACCTTTTCACTTATTTGTAAGTTGGTTTCTGTTGTTCTGTGCTTTCAAGTCATTTCTGACTTATGCTGACTCTAAGGTGAACCTATCATGAGATTTTCTTGGCAAATTTCTTCAAAGGCCATTGCCATCCTCTGAGGCTGAGAGAGTATGGCTTGCCCAAGGTCACCCAGTGGGGTTTCATGGCTGAGTCAGGATTCGAACCCTGGTCTCCCAGCATCCTAGTCCTATGCCCAAACCACTACACCACCCTGGCTTTCTTATTTCTAAGTACTGCCAGTTATACTTTCCCCTTTCTTATGTATCCATGAAGTTTAAATGTGTGCATAGGGGGGGAAAATTAATCATGATGTATATAATATAAAATGACATTTGTCCTAAAGTTCACTGTAAATCTGTAAATCTTATTGAAATAACCTGAATATATGACAGGCTGTGTAAACATTTGTAAATCTTTGTAAACATAGTCCCGATATTAAAGTTCCTTATAAACTTTATTAGAAATGATTGAAATGGATAAACTAATTACTTGATTAAATCATAAAGATAAAGAAGACATTGAAAAAAGAATGGCTCCCAGTTACAGACTATTGTAAAGTAAAGGGGAAATAGATTGTAGGAACATGAAGGACGCCAGGTTAGAAAATGAACAAAATAATAATTACGGTTAAAATTACGTAAAATTAGAATGTGCTCTAAGGCTTTGTTTTAATTTTGATTTTTTTTCCTTTGGTAACTTCTTTGTTTGTTCTCTTTGATTTTGTTGGTTATAAAATAAGTAAATGAAATTATGGTGTAATGAAGGACATTTTGCTGGAGAAACAAAGGAAGTTAATGTTGGATGTATTTCTTTTGTTGTAGATAAGTAAAAGAATAAGTATTTTTGACATTAATAAAATTTAATAAAAAATAAATAAACCCAGCCTCCTTTAAAGCAATGTAATAATAATAATAATAATAATAATAATAATAATTTTTATTTTTACCCCACCAAGGCTATCAAGGTGGCTTACATTAAAATAATAACCCAGACATTATAACAAACATATAACCCCCCCTTAAAAATAAAAAAAAATATAAAAGCCTCTAAGTTTTTTATAATTATCTAGAACAAGCCAACAGACAAACACAAGGAGATCAATGGTAAAAGAGCATAAAAGGATGGACTTCTTAAGTGTGGTAGAAGACTGTGGGGACATCTTTGGGAACTCCGATTCTTCCTCTTCTAGACAAGGCCCTCTTTGATGAAAGTGCTTGGAATTTTATAATATAATCCCATCAACCCATATTCAGAAATGATCCCCCGGGAATTCATTTCTGCTTTGTCTGAAGTAACTGTATAGCATTGCAGCCATCATCTGCTATCAAAGTGCTTGGCAGCTTCAAGGAACTTTCAAAGTCTCTTTGGGTGTCTTATTCCATCTTGCAAAAGATATTCCAAGGTGACGCAATGGGTTTCCTCTTGATTCCTTTTGTTGTGCACCCTTTGATCCTGGATCATGCCTTCATGTGATCAGTTGGTCCTTTCTTGAGCCTAGCCCCACCTTTTTTGGGTGATCCAGTATGTGGGCCTGCAATATACACACAGTCCAAAGTGTGGAGCTTTTGTACAGGTATCTACTCTGGTCCCAGATCCATGCAACTAGGTTTGGAGGAGACATTTTGGATTTCCCACAATGCCCAAAACAGGCCACTGAGAGAAATGTATGCAGCATCACCCACCAGTGATCACCACTATCACCACCAGTAGGATCCCATTAACAAAAGAGGGGGAACCACCAAATAGCCATAAGTCTCTTCCCCCCCCCCCCCCCCCCCCTTTATATCCCACCTTTAGCCAAGGCTATCAAGGCAGCTTACAATTTTAAAAAAGGTAGATTCATCCTTTAGATGAATACTATAGGACAAGAGAGCTGGATTAGAGCAAGCTGTAATGTGAGAAATTTTTAAGAAATTATAATTTGGAAATGAGAAGATACTTCAAAGAAGATATAGACAATATAATAAAAGTTTCTTATATACTGATTTTACTAAATGGAAATTGATTTTTTTTTTTTGGAAGAGTGCATAGTTATAGACGAGGAAATAAGTAAAAAGAGAAGTTGTAAGAATGATGATGAATATGGTATTTTTCTTGTCAAAGGAACAGTATGGAGGTTTGTAGGTTTCTTTAGGTTGATGTTTTTGATGTATTTAGTTATTTGTAATAGCTTTTTTTTATAATAGTCATTCATTCATTCAACCTTTACTAGGCATACAAAATAAAGTTTACAATAAAATAAAATACATTTACAATACAACTTCAGAATCGTATTATAATTTTTATATAATATGTATATGATATATAAATAAAATTAATTAAAAAAGCAGTGGTTCCCAAACTTTGATCCTCCAGCAGTTGTGGACTTCAACTCCCAGAATCCCCAGCCAGTTTGGCTAACAGACAGGAATTCTGGGAGCTGAAGTGAGAAGCATCTGGAAGACTAGAGTTTGGGAATCACTGGTTTAAAACATTACAAGGCATGAGAAAAGTCTGGCATGAGAAAAGGAAAGCTCACATGATGATAAATAAATCAGGTTGATGTCTTCCATAATGTATAAAAAACATGCCATGGAAACCCACTGGGTGGCCTTGGGCAGGTCACACTCTCTCAGCCTCAGAGGATGGCAATAGCAATCCCCCTCTGAAGAAACTTGCCAAAAAAAACCCATGATAGTTGCAAGCTGGAAATAACTTGAAGGCACACAACTACAACCATAACAAACTAGGAATTGAGGATTGCTTGGAGGACTGTGAGCATCATCCAGTTCTAATACTTTCTTGTTTCCTAAAGCATTTGGAACTTTATTTTAATACTGTTTTATAATTTTAGATTTGATTACATGCATTGGTTGCTTTTATAGTACTGTACTTTACGTGCATAATTTGTTTATAATGACTGCATAGTTTTATATTTATATTTATATTTA